TCTCAGGTAAGTGGTCCCTGATCTGTGCTGGCAGATGGGGAGGGAGGTGGGAGAAGGGGAACCTGGGTCATTTGGGGGAAGCCTTTGGCCCCCTGTGGGGAGAGCCCCCGTGGTCCCCAAGTGCAGCAGGAGACCAGGCAGAACGAGAGGTGTGGCCTGGGAACTGCCTCAGTCCCTTTAGTACCTCAGACTCTGGAAGACAACAGTGTACCTGCCGTCCAGAACTATAGGGAACTCTGGCCACCACAGGGCTTCCCACTGCTCACAGAGCAGACCCAGGAGGTGTGAGTCTGTAAGTCAAGCTGAGGGAAGAGCCCCTGGCCCAGCTCTCCTCTGGAATCTGGTTGTGCCTGCAAAGAAGGCAGGGGAATGGGGGGATGCAGACCTCCAACCTGGGTGCCACAGGCAGCCAAAGGGCACCTGAGCCCCCGAGGGACTCACGCTTTCCCTTCAAAGGCCATAATCTCTGCCAAACCCAGTGCCAGTGGGATAGACTTGGGACTGGGCTGCTTGTCTTGGGCTCCGAGCATGTGAGTTCAGAGAATCGGGGTCTAGGCAGCACCTACTGGAAGCCTTGGGTAGGTGTGCAGCCTGGGGTCTGGAGAGAGGGAGAAACCAGTGTTTTGGGGAACCCAGCAGCACAGAGGGTTTCCATCAATTCTCAGAAAGACGGATGCTGACCCAGAATAAAAACCATTTTGTAGAGTCCAGAGTATTTGAATCCAGGTCTTATTTCCCCCACTGGAAATAGGTTTTAAAAGCTAATTTCTCTCCCTCCTTTCTGAGGCCTGGCCCAGCTTCTCCCTCTTCCTGCTACAGCAGTTTCATAGTAAAGTGCCTCTCACCTCTGCCCTGCACCCCTGATGAATGCCTTGAGCAGCAATGGCGTTCCCCTTCCTAGGTGCGGCCCTGAGCCCCTAGCGAGGGTCATGAGGGTCTAACCCAGGTGGAAGGAGCCCCAGCAAGGGATGTCCCCTGATCCAAGAAGGGGGTGAAGGTGGTGAAAGGGAAAAACCACATGGTGGAAAGAAGTTTGATGTGAAACTTATCATGTGAGCATTGGACCCAGCCCCGAGGGGAGAGTGGGTGAGTGTGGCCTCACTGGAGCCTCAGGGCTCAACATGGCAGCAGAAACAGGGAGGTGTCGCTAGGTTGTGGGCAGACCCACTGGTTGAAGGGGCTATTGCTGGGTGACGGAAAATGGCCCCAACAGGAGGGAGCTCAGGAACAATCTACTCTGGAGGTACCAAGAGTCTGAAGAGATCTGGACACCCTTCAACCTCGTGTCTGGGGGTAGGAGGTTGCTACCTTTGCTGGGTTAAAGCAGTATGAGAGTCTTCCCCAGGGGCCAGGAGCAGAGATGAGGTTTGCTCATGAGGTGCTGATGAACCCGCACTCTTTTCTGGATTTTAGCTGTGTGTGTGCATGCGTGCACGCGCGCGCACACGTGTGTATGTGTGTGTGTGGGCGTGTGCACGTGTGTGTGTGTGTGTTTGGGTCATCGGATCATTTTTTCATGATAAACCAATCTTGATCAAGTATTTTTCTGGACCAACTTACCTTCGTATCAGCTCATCTTTATTCATTCATTTTTAGCTAATTATAGTTTGGGAGGTAACATAGAGCTAAATATTGGCTTGCAGACTGACAGAATTCTCTCGCTGGAACTTTCACCAAGAGTGATGCACAGTCACAGCTACAAAGCATCTTCCCTTCACCTACCCTCACCTGGTGGCAGCACCCGCAGATGGGTGGTGCTGGAGATCATTCAGTGCCAGGTTTAGTCTGGCCTTGACTATCTCTGACAGCTTTAAGGGCGAGAGCAGTTACCTCCATGTAGAGGTGAGATTTCCCAGGCAGGAATTTCACGTGGATTCCACCTGTGGCTCCTACATGTCTCATGATATGGGGCATGGTTTCTGGGACCAGGCCCAGGAGAAGAGGACCCATACGAGATTCCATGATGGGCCCTGCAGCAGTGTCAAGGTTAGAATCCCACTCCTTTCCAAACACAGACGATGTGGTCCAGCTTCAGACCAAGGAGCGGGGGCATAAGCAGGTGTCATGTTCCATGGGTCCCAGGCCCCTTGTTAGAGTATCTCTGACACCAGGGCACTAAGGAAAGCAGGTGGGGAGATGGGGTCCGGGGCCGGCTGGGGATGGAGGGGATTTGTGCATAGCTAGTGCAAGGCTTTCCACATCCCCACTACCCACAAGCCCCAGGCTGAGGCTCGAGCTGCTATAGCCTCTAATGGTTCATGTTCAGTGCTCCCTGGCGTCCTCAACTTCAATCCTCTGTGGTGAGCTACGGCCTCAAGGAGAACCAGGTCAGGACCATTCATGCCCTACACTTAAACAAGTTTCTCATACACAGTGGCTGGGGAGGTCAGGCTTTTCCTGGGTTTCCTCTGGGGGTTGCAAATCCTCTCCAGGTGCATAATCCCCGGCCCCCAGTAGCCATTCCAGCCCCAGCTTGGTTGCCCTGCTACAGAGAGAGATTGGTCTCCTCTCTGGCCTCTCCCCTCCCCGCTACCATTGGTTCTACACCTGCCGAGGCAACGCCTGTGTGGCCTCTTCCTGGGGGCAGCTGTGGACTGCTATGGGTCTTCCTGTGCAAAGGGTTTCCTACTCAGGACCTCACGATATCCAGGATGGTGACCCCAGCTCACGTAAGCACAGCACTTCACAGTGTAGATCTCAGCCTTGCGGCTGTCCCCAGCTCACATAAGCACAGCACTTCACAGTGTAGATCTCAGCCTTGCGGCTGTCCCCAGCTCACGTAAGCACAGCACTTCACAGTGTAGATCTCAGCCTTGCGGCTGTCCCAGGACACAGATCATCCCCATTTCCTGGATAAGGATGGTGAGGCAGCAGTAAGTGGAGCCCTGATGCTGAACTTGGAACGCTCCATGTTAGGCTGAGGAAGCACCCTGTCCAGGTATGGGGCAAGCAGAGTGGGGCTGGGGTCATCTTAGAAGGCCAGCTCTGCTCCTGGGGGCTTTCAAAGCCCGGCTGCCTGACTTTGAGTCGATCTCATTGTGAGTGAATTAATTGTTGTGCAACCTACAGTGTGAGACAAGTTAATTACATAATTACTGCAAAATGACACGTTATTTCATGGCTGCAATATGGTAACTCTGTTGGAAACAATTGTAATTGCCCAGAAACTGCATTCGAGTGGCTCCGTTATCTCTCGATAACCATGTAATTAACTTGTTACAACTTTATCTGCAGCAGACTCCGAAGTTAGGACTTGGGTCCTTGGGGTGTGCACAGCCAACCTAGACATAAGGGCCCAGGGAGGGTCTGGCATTGAGGGCTCTGCTACAGTCCAGGGAAATAATGTTCATGTTGAGCGAGAAAAAAAGCCCTCATTACAGCCTCCAGCCTCAAGCTCATGTGCTCAAACCCATTCACAATCTCACATGGTCACACACAGACGACAGCTCCCTGGTCTCACCTGACCCACTCAAATATACCCACCAGACTCACTCAAATATACCCACTTCAGCCTCTCTTTTCTCTCACGTACACAGATGCGGCTCCTTCATAGAAAGTGGAAGCCCCAAAGTAGAGAACTCCTACCCCAAGATCCTTGGCCCTAAAGATCCCTTCCCACGGACTGGGCCACTGGCCACAAAACCGTATCTTGGAGACGTAGCCTCCTCCAAGCGCCCATAAGAGCTCAGCCATCCTTCCGCTTCACTCAAGTGGAGGAGCAGGCCCGGGGGCAGGTGACGTGAGATGGCAGCGCATCCCCGCTTCGCCCAGGCAGCCAGTTCCCTGCCCAGGAGCAGGCAGAGGATGAGGCTGTAGGCTGACTCCATCTGGGCTCTGGTCTGTGGCCAGGATAAAAACCGTCCCGGGGGAAGGAGGAGTGAGTGGCCTGATGGTCAGGGGAGCCTGTCCATATAGCCTTCTCTGTTCAGGTTTTGGACCCAAGGAGCCTTTCTTTTTAATACTGTTCAGTGATACCTTTTCAGTTCCAGGCTACGTGCTCGGCACTACGGCTTCAGCCACGACCAAGACAGCATCCCTGCTGCCCGGGGTGAGCCTAGCTCAGCCGCTGGATGTCTGGCTGCCTTCCAGCCTGAGTACCTGCCGGCGTTCTGTCTGTCCCTACCTATCTCTGCCTACACATCCATCTACTTGTGTGTCCATCTCTCCTGCTTGCCAGTACACGTATGTGTCTGACTGTGTGTCTGTTGACTTGTCTGACTCTGCAGTCGTCACACGTGGTCCCACGTCTGCTGGAGGGAACCAGCCTGTCCCAGGTCTCCCCATGGTGTGGTGTTCATCCTCACCTTGATGTGCTCTGTTTGTTTTCCTGGCTTTCCCCCTTCTCCTCAAGGGCACGGACTGTGTCCAGTCCATGATTCATCCTTGTGTCTGGTACTTGCAGCGCAGGGCTGAGACAGACAGATTTGCCGACGGAATGAACGAAAACCTCCCGCCTGCGTGGGCTGAGTTAACAGGGAAACAGAACTGTCCTCACTCATCCAGGGGAGCAGGAAGGCAGGCCCCAGGTTGGGCCCAGGCTGTAAGGAAGAGACAGCAAATGCTGTCCGTCCCCATGAAGGTTAAGAGGGGTTTAAGAATGGTGCTCCCATAGCAGGGAGCTCAGGATTTGGGGTCCTACCATGGAGGCAGCCAGAGCTGGGTCTCTGTCTGGGCAGTCTGGGGGGTTTCAATGGTGGATGTAACACAGGAGCCCAGGGAAGGGAGGTTTTCATCTTGGGGGCCAGGATATATGCTCTGCCAGGGGAGGGGGAGGACACCCTAGCCCCACCTTCTGGCTCAGGGGGTGCTTGGGGTTGTCCCCTCCCCTCCAGCTTGTTCCCGCCAAAGCCCACCTGGAGCCACCCTGCCGGCGACGGCATACACTAGAGCCCCAGGCACCCCACCACCACCAAGGACCAAGGGGAGGGTCTTGTTTTACTCCCAAGCCAAGGGGAGGGGCCCCAGGTCTGTGTCAGTCACGTGATCAATGCAGAATAACCTCCCCGGAAACATTCATAAGTTTAATCCACGCCAGTAATAAAATCGCATTACATTTCTCATAAAATAAATGTTCCCATTTATATACAGAAGACAGACTGTACAGGCCCAGCCTGGCCCCAGGAGGGGTCACACACAGACGGGCGGCGCTGGAGGAAGGGCCCTTCCTCCCATCGAGGACAGAGGAGCTGTAATCGGCAGGAGAGCAGCTGGCCAGCCGGGCGGGTGGGCAGGCGGGCGGGCGGACGGACGGGCCGGGCGGCCAGGCGCCGGGCGTCACTGAACCTGGGGCTCAAAGGTGCCATTGAGCTGCCCCTCCTCATAATCCATCTGACACAAGATCATGTTGTTCTTCAGGAAGAATTTGTCTCCCACACAAAATCTGGAAAATCCAAGCAGGAGAGAGAGGCCATGGAGGGGTCCCAGTGGACGGTGACGGCTCCAGACAGGACCCCGCCCGGCCCAGGAAGTGGACGTGTGGGAAGTGAGGTCCCGGGGAGCCTGCTCCTCGAGCTTTCCAGAGGGGATCCCTGAAAGTCTCTCGGCCAGGCCCTGCAGCCTGGGGCGTAAGACACACAGATAAGCCCGGGCCACGGCCCTTCCACATAGTCAGAGCTCCTGTGGAGGTGGGGGCGGGGCTGGGGTCGGAGGGCAGGTGTAGAAATAATGTACCTCAGTGCCAGAGAGGGAGAAAAGGCGGAGGAACAAAGAAATAGGAGAAGACCAACGGAGGAGAGGGAAGGAGAGAGGCAGAGATGGAGCACGAGGAAGGGATAAAACGGCTGGCTTTTCCAACCCTCTGTTCCCCTCCCCAGCTTAAGGAAATGGCTCAGGGAAGGGCACTCTTCCTCTAAACAGGATCTGTGGGTTTCCGGGAACATCCTTCCAGGAGGAGGTGACGCTGTCCCATCGTCTTCCCTCGAACCCAAAGAAGGCCCTGCTTTGCCTCTCTGCCCCTCTCGGTCCTCCTCAAGCGCTGGAGGACTCAGCCCTTCCCACAAAGACGTGCCCAGGGTGTCTGAGGCCTGTAGTGGGACCCCAGGGTCACAGGCTCAGTCCCAGCAGATCCCACTTCAACCACCAGGTGGCGCTGCAACTTCACCGAGCCCTCCCGGCAGTAGGTCTGGGCAGAGTCCCAGCCAAACCAGCACTCCCTGCAGGTCCCTCTGGACCTCACTCTCTGGGAACACTTGTATGAACTCCTTCCTCACCTGGGGGCTCCTGAGAAAAGGGCCTGCCTTCTGGGGCTCGGCCCCCGGCCAGGGTTGAAGCGCTCTGGCTCCTTAGGGCCCTAGGGTCTCCCATGGGGCTCGGGGCACAAAGTAGGGGCCAAAAGACCAGAAACAAGGCTGGGCTGGAACCAGAATCACAGAAATGAGTGACCGTTCCCCAGGGGGATTTCACCCTCCAGGTCTGGGAACCCTTTTTCGCTGGAATGTCCATGCGTGCTCCTGCATGTAGCACACACACACGGCACAGGACATGCATACAGAACCCTTGTGCTCACACGTTTAAAACATGCATGCACAATACATGCATGGGACTCCTCTGGTGGCGCAGTGGTTAAGAATCCACCTGCCAATGCAGGGGACACGGGTTCGAGCCCTGGTCCGGGAAGATCCCATATGCCGCGGAGCAACTAAGCCTGTGTGCCACAACTACTGAGTCTGCACTCTAGAGCCCGCAAGCCACAACTACTGAGCCCACATGCCACAACCACTGAAGCCCATGTGCCTAGAGCCAGGGCTCTGCAACGAAAAGAAGCCACCACAATGAGAAGCCCGCGCACCGCAACAAAGAGCCCCCACTCGCCACAACTAGAGAAAGCCTGTGCGCAGCAATGAAGACCCAATGCAGCCAAAAATAAATAATAAATATATAAAAAAAATAAATGCATGGACACTACACACACTGCACACAGCTCATGCATGGCCCCGTCCATTACATTTGCACAGAGCTTGTACTCCACAAACATGTACATGCGGTATCGGAGAGCACACATTTGGCTACAGGGCTCAGGTGTACATAAAACACACGCATGAACATACATGCTCACAACAACATGCACACACAGAACCCGCATTTGCATGCATGCCTCCATGGCACTCCTGGTCTGTGGCAGCAGGTGTCGGCTGGGGTCTGCTGAGTGTGTTGGGTCTGTTACGGGCCAGCACTCACCTCTGGTTGCAGAGCTGGCAGGCGAAGCAGTCGAGGTGATATACATTGTCCCGGGCCCGCATCACCATCTCGAAGGCTGGAATCAGCTTGCTGCAGGCAGCGCAGTTTCCTGTGGTGCCGAAGAGCCTGCAGAGGGAAGGGTGCAAAGGGCTCAGGCACCTGTTGGGGTGGTGTGGGGGGCAGGGGAGTTGCCTCCATCCAGGGCCCCACCTGCCCTCCCCCTGGTTCAGCAGGTGGGCCTGGGCAAGAGGGAAGGAGCACAGGTGACAGTGTCTAGATTCTGCTAAGAGAGAAGGCTTCAGAGAAATTGGCGCATTCACCCAGGAAGGAGACTCTGGGGACCCAGGTGTTGGCTGACACTGCCCGTCCTCCGGCTTCACTGACAATGCCCCCTCCCAGGCTTCCACTGGGGTCCCTCAAGCACCTGAGGTCACCGGAAGAACACTGGGCTGGGCCCTGAGCAAGGACTCCAGACTCACACAAGCCTGAATTTAGAGACAGTCTGCTGATCATGGGCTGTGTGTCCTCAGGCAAGTTACCGAGTCTCTCTGAGCCTCATTTATTTCAACCGTAAAATGGGGACCATAATGCATTCTTCACAAGCTTGTTGTGAAAACCGTAACCTCTCAGTCACAGCCCCTTTAGTTAATGCCTATGTAGCGTTTGCTATGTGCCAGGCACTGTTCTAAGGACTCTCCAAAGATCAACTCATTTAATCTTGACAACAACCCTATGGGGTGGTCTTTCTGCTACCAGCTCATGGTGTGACTTGCCTAACTCCCTTTTTTTTTTTTTTTTTTGCGGTACGCGGGCCTCTCACTGTCGTGGCCTCTCCGGTTGTGGAGCACAGGCTCCGGACGCGCAGGCTCAGCAGCCATGGCTCACGGGCCCAGCTGCTCCGCGGCATGTGGGATCCTCCCGGACTGGGGCACGAACCCGTTTCCCCTGCATCGGCAGGCGGACTCTCAACCACTGCGCCACCAGGGAAGCCCTAACTCCCTTTTCTTGAACCTCAGTTTATCCTTCTTTAAAATGGGAAGACTGGACTAGATGATCCTGTTCAAAGGTGCTTCTAAAACAGGACTGATGCCAAAAGGAAGTCCCAAGGCCAACTGGCACAACGCCTCTTTGGGGCAGGCACCCCTCCTCTTAGCTGCTGGTTGCAAAGCTCTAAGGACGGGGAACTCACTCCTTCCCCATGTAGGCCAGTCCTTGGCTGAATGTTCCAGGGGTCTGAGCCAGCCAGGCCTCTGCTCTGCAGACTGGCAGCGCAAGCCCCAAGTGAGGCAAGGGGGCTGAGAGGCGGGCGGGAGGCCCTCTAATCCCTGATTTGTCCAGCTCAAGCGCGGGCGCCTGCAGATGAGCTTGGCTCCATTATTCATCAGCCTGAGCTGCCTGGTGGCTTAGATTAAGGCAGACAAAGGCCGGGCCAACAGCATCTGCTTGCCAAGAGGGGCCTTTCTGGCCACCAGTCCAATGAGAAGTGACTGCAGAGAGGCAGGCTCTGGACAGCCATTCTCAGGGGCTGAGCAGCTCAAGGAAGCCCCGCACCCACGTCCACCCCGGCCCACTGGCCCACCAGGCCCCGAAGTCATTCCTGAGCTCTGCCAGAGTCCGGGAGAATACTTCCAGGCTCCAGTAGCTGGCAGGGCCCAGGATGCTTGTGGGCGCATCAGCTCTGTAGATGAGCCCATCCTGTACTGTGGTCGTCCCTCTCCAGGTCCTGTGGACTCGTCAGATGGTCTGTCACCTCCCCTCAACCTGGTAGGTTCAGCCCCCAGGTGATGTCCTAAACCTCCAGACCTGGAGACCCCTTCCAGGTTGCCGAGGGGTGAGTCCCCAGAAGCATCCTTAACCCCTCCTCCTGGCCTCAGCATCTCTCCTCCAGCCCCAGTCAGGAGCACTGAGTCACACATCCTGGTTTATAGCACCACTTAAAAAAAAAAAATACTCCTGCAAAGGCAGAAGTTAAAAGAGAAGGTGCAGGCAGGTAAATCTTAGGCTCTTCGGGGAAATAGGGGAGCCTCTGCTGATGACCCCGCCCTCCCCCGCTACCCCCCGACATGCCCAGTCCTGAGCAGAGGGAGCCCCAAGAAGCCTGGCCGTGACCTACTAATTAATGCGATGGGCCTTCCTTCCCCGCAAGGCCCTGCCGCCACCCAGCAGCCTGCATGGGAGCCAAATGCAGATGTTGGGTCTCAGCCAGGCCCCTGCTTTGTGGCCTCCTTCCAGCCTTGCTGATGTCATAGATGGCCTGAGGGAGGGTTAACTGGGGAGGAGGAGCCCCGGGGAACAGGATCCAGGTTGTGGAGGAGGGTGGGTCAGAGCTCTGAGGAATGCCAGGAGGGGAAGCGGTAGTCTTTTCACCATTCACAGAGGGGTAACCTGAGGTGGGGGAAGAGGTTCAGGACTAGTTCAAACCCAGGTCTTTAAGTTCCAGCATTAGCAGCTCTTCTAGGGTCTGGCTACCTACCAGGCTCCCCAGGCGTGGGGGTGTTTAATCCCAGGGCCCACCTGGAAGATGGGGAGCTGGGCCCTGGGGAGATTGAGAAGGAGACCGTCAGGCCAGAGGGGCCCAGGGAAGTCAGAGCTTCCCCACCTGCTCCTGGAAGCCCCTCCAGGGCATCCCTTCCCAGATTTCAGGGACGGGGTGGGTCAAAAGCACCTGGCAAAGGCAGGGCCAGAGCCACACCGGTGCCCTCGGGAAGCTTCTCTTGGGTGCCCAATGGTAACAGATGTGCCCGCCCAGGACCCGTGCTGGGTACTGAGTCCAAGGGGCAGGGCAGGGGCGGGGATGAGTGCAGGCAGGATGCTGGGGCTAGAGCAGGGCAGAGCGGTGCCAGCCTTGGAGGATGGGGCTTTCTGAGCAGAAGGGCTGGGGGGCGGATGGGGTGGGAGGCCGCCCACCTCAGGTAGTCGCGCCGGCACAGGATGAGGTTGGCCTTGGTGTAGAGCGTGGAGCCCACCTCGCCCAGGCGGCAGTCACAGCAGGCGCACTTGAGGCAGTCCTCGTGCCAGTACTTGTCCAGCGCCTTCAGCAGGTAGCGGTCTTTGATCTTGCGGTTGCAGCCCGCGCAGCCCTTCTGCTTCCCTTTGGGCTGGACGGAGAGCATCGGCATACCTGCGGATGGACAGACAGATGGACATGGTGGGCCCTGCGGCTCCCACCTCAGGGTACATCCCTCTGCTTCTCTCTGCTGCCCCCTTCCAGGAGCCCTCCCTGTCTCCCCAGCAGCTGCCTCCCCTGGGCCTGGGTCCCGCCCTGTGTGGCCTGCATGGCACGGCCTCCTCCCCTGCCCTGTGAAGGTCCTCCAGAAGCGGCGGGAGCCCCGCATCTGCTCTGCTGCAGGGCACACAGCTAGTCCTCAGGTCCGCCTCCCTGAGTTGTTCCTCTCCTTCCAGCCACTGCCCCCTGTGCCGTGGGATCCACGGTAGGCCTGAGGTCTCCTCATGCAGCCACCATCCATTGGCTCTTTCAGCAGCCCTGAGAATGGAATCTTGGGCTTGGGGTCCACTAGAACCCCCAGATCTTTTTGCCACCTCAAGACTTCCTCACACTGCTGTGTGCTTGACCATTTTAACCTAACACGTCAGGCTACAGCCTCTTGATTATGGAGGCGTCAAGAAGAAAGTGAGGGCTTTCCCGCTGGCGCAGTGGTTAAGAATCCGCCTGCCAATGCAGGGGACACGGGTTCAATACCTGGTCCGGGAAGATCCCACATGCCGCGGAGCAACTGAGCCCGTGCGCCACAACTGCTGAGCCTGCACTCTAGAGCCTGCGAGCCACAACTACTGAGCCCCCGCGCCGCAACTACTGAAGCCCACGTGTCTAGAGCTGGTGCTCCACAACAAGAGAAGCCACCATAATGAGAAGCCCACGCAGCGCAACGAAGAGTAGCCCCTGCTCGCTGCGACTAGAGAAAGCCCGCACGCAGCAACGAAGACCCAATGCAGCCAAAAATAAACAAAATTTAAAAAATAAAAAAAAAGAAGAATGTGAGATGCCCCTGTGATACTCCCAGGGGGCAGCAGGAGCTCTGGAGCTCCTGGTCAATGCTTGGGGAGGTAGCTGGGCCTGGCCTAGTTGACACTTTCCTCAGGAATGTTTCTAGCTAGATTCAAACTTCCTACCTGCCCTAGCCTGAGGAAGGGGAGCATCGGTGCCCCAGCGTCCTTGCTCATCCTACCAGGATGAGAATCTTGGAGACACTGGCCCTCCCCCAGGGCCCATATGAGCTTCCCGACATACAAGGAAGTGGTAAGTACAAAAGACAGGAATCTCAGCATAGCCTTGACCGGAGGGAGGGGCAGACCTCCCACCAGGCAAGCATGTACACTCACGTACCCTGTGCACACAGGCAAGGTGTGCAGGCGTGGGCATGTGTGTGCACAGAGGCACAGGCTCCTAGCCCCCGGCCCTGAGGCCATAGGGAGGGGCAGTTGAGAAGGAGGTGGGGACAGATGTTGTCTGGGAACCTGGACATCCATGTGGAGTCCTGAGGCTCGAGCGTGGTGAAGACTAGGCTTGGAGGGAAGTGCGGAGAGTCTCAGAGCCCAGCTGGATGGTGGGGTTGCCTTGCACTTGTCTAAGTCTAATTGACCCTCACAAGGGCTCAGATGGGTTGAGGGGTCACCGCTGGGGGGAAGAGCCCACGCCCTCCTGCCTCCTCGGTTTTCCAGCAAGCCCCCGAAGACTCCCTCCCCCTTCGCCCAAGGTCTCCACAGGACCCCTGCACTCTTCAGGGCTCTGGGTTCAGCTCCTGTTCCCTGGCATTCCTCCTCTCCCTCCCTCCCCCTCACTGCCCCCAGTCCGGAGTCAGAGCTGCTTCCTTTCCCTTCCCTCTTCTGGGTTGTGACCCTTCCTCAGGCTCCAGGAGAGAACCAGCTTCCAAAGAACCTCAGTGTCAGAATCCACAGAGGTCAGGTGAGAGGCGCCCCCAGAGTTCATACAGGCAAATGCTCTCATTCTACACATGGGGGAACTGAGGCCCAGACAGTCCAAAGAGCTAGTGTAAGCCACGGATCAAGCTGGCCTCTGGGGTTCTTCCTCCCTCCTATGCTCTGTCTCAGCCTCGCTGCCTCCTCAGACTTCTCTTGGAGAGGGGGCGGCCCCCCAGCACCCAGGAGCAGCAGGACAGGTGAGGGCAGGAAGGAGGCAGTGCATCCTCCCTCCTCCAGTGCCCGCGGGGCCCATCTGTTAGCTAGGAAGTTTGCTGCCTAATTTCCTTAATGCAGCTCTACAGGTTAATTGGTCTGAGAGAGTGAGGGGGCTCAGGCCCGCCTGTGTCTCCTCTGACAGGGGTCAGCCCGGTCACAGAGCTCAGGGGAGCCCGGAGAGGCCGCTGGGGAGCAGGCCCACCCGAGAGCTAAGGGGGGCCTGAGAGGCTCCTTCCTAGGCCTGGCCTACAGGGATCAAACGGCGGAGGGGTTCAAAGAGCTGGATATGGAAAGGTCTGGGGGCTCCCAGGGTAAACTACTGTCCCTGGGGCCTGTGGAAGGCGCGCCCAGCCAGCATAGCTATGCATATACATTCCAGCTTGGAAAACCCCAGACCAAGCCTCTCTCTAGTCCCCTCACGGCTGATTTTCCCTTGCTCCCCAGGGCTAGCAGCAGGCCTGGCTCCCTTCCCAGCAGCCCTGAGCCCTCCCAGGGCTCTATACTTGTGCTATCACTGGGAGGGGGGTGAGTGGCTGGAACATCATTACTCAGGGGATACATCTGGCCCACTAAGTTATGCCCCCAAATGAAGGGGGATCCCAGCACTAGGAGCGTCTGTCCTGCTCCATCTTCCGCCTGGCCTGGCTCCTAGAGAGGCTGAGCCTGCAGGGCTATGGACCACATGGTAGCTGGTAATTCCATCACCAGTGGGACCGAGCACCTAGAGGATGCAGGGAGGATGCGGGGAGCAAAGCCACACGCTGCCCCAGGTCCCCCGCCTGGCATACAGCAAGTGCTCTGTAAGGCCTGAATACCCTGCTTTAGGGTGCTGGACTCTGCTTCCTGGGTCCTGGAGAACTCTTTAAGAAGCCACATGGCTTCTGCCAGTGTCTGATGTCCACTGAGACACGGAACACCAGGCCCAGCCTGGCTGAGGAGGTCCCAGAGCATCTGGGGACCATGAGCTTTCTTCGCCTGGGAAGGCTGAGGTCCTGGGAGAAGTCTGACTCACCCCTCCCTTTTTTTACCGAGCACCCACACTGTTTGCCCTCATTGGGCTAGTCCAGGAGACTTGAAAACACTCCTGGAAAGGTGAAGGGCCTTTAAGGGGGGCATCTATAATCTCCTTCTCCCAAATAGAGCAAGATGTTCCCCAGAGGGTCTGGGTCCTCCCTTCCTGTCCTGCCTCCCCAGCTCCCACCCAGCCTGCCTGTCGGCCCTGCAGACACCTCTTCCCTCCCTCCTTCCCCTGCCCGGCTCTGGGAGCTGAGCCTCGGGCCATGCACTTTCCATTAAGGAGATAGCATCCCTTTGCTGAAGTCCATTTGGGATCCATTTTAGTGTTATCTAAAAATCAAATCTACATGGTAATCCTTTTAATGTACTCCTGACTTTAGAAAAAAACAGCTTCGCGCTCCTTCAGGAAAGGTTTTAAAGCATTACCCAGTAATTACTACTCACTCATGAAAACACTGACATTTTACAATGGACGATGCTTGCCCCTGCCTGCGCGTGTGGGCTCACGCTCAGACGCAACACACGGGACCCAGCAAAATAAACCAATTCACTCAGCCCGTGTGTTCCCCCAAATCTCGGGGTGTGAGGGGGACGACATTTGCGAGGAGATGGGCCAGACTCCTACCCCGCCTCTCCCCTGGGCGGGCTGACGGTGGAAGGAGGCAGCCTCCCAGTCTGACTCATCCGGCTGCCAGACACTTACCCTCAGCTCTTTAATCTGGGGAAAAGCCAGACAGTCCCGGTGACCGGGAGGCACTGCCAGAGGTCATTCAGCTCTTCCCGCATCCTCGAGAGCGGTCTGCCAGGCCAGACCCAAGTCCTCAGCAACTCCTGCCCACCTATCCCAGGACAGCGTGTCCCTCAGATGGGACTTCTCTAAGGTGCCAAGGCCACCGGCTCCCGGTCCCACCCATGCCTCCAGTTTGGACAGCACACTGAGCCCGGCTGTGCAGCACTTCCTCTGCTCACAGTGAGCTCCTCTGAGGCAGGTCCTCCTCCACAGAATGCCCACCCCATCCAGCCCCATGTCAGGTCGTGCCCTGTGGCTCTCCTGCTGGAAGCCACCGTGGCCACCACTGGGAACTCTACCTGGCATTCGAGGCCCCCTCCCGCGTGCCAGCACCCCCTGCATGGCACTGCTGGCTCTGCTCCCTGTAGAATCCCAGGAATAATATCCCTTTCCACCCTGCAAATGGATCTCATTTTCTTCTACCCTAGAGCCTTCCCTCCGCCATTGCTCCAGGAAGATATGCCTTGTCCTGCCTGTCCCACTCTTCCCCAAAGGTCAGAGTCAGCAGTGGAGTTGAGGCTAAGAGCACAGACTTTGAACTCAGAGAACCTACTTTCCAATCTGGGAACTGTCCCAAGTAGCTGGAGGGCTTGGCACAAACCCCTTTACCTTTCCAACTGTCATCTGTGAAATGGGGCCATACTAGTCTCCCTCCACCAGACTATAGTGAGGGTAGAATAAGGTTCTGCAGAGGAAGCCACAGCATAGGGTCCGGCAGCCAGCTGGGACCAACAAACAGGAACTGGTGTATTGTTAACATGCACCCTGGGATGCCTTTCCTGTTCTGACACTTGTTTTTTCGCTCTTTTAACTTTTTATCTTGACATTTCAAACTTCCAGATTTTGCAAGAATAGAAAGAATTCCTGTATACCCTTTACCCTGATTCTCTAAATATGAACATGTTGCCATACTTGCTTTATCCTTCTCTGTTTATCTATCCATCTACCTCCCTCCCTCCCTCCCTTCCTATAATTCTTTTCCTGACTCATCTGAGAGTTGGTTTCAGACATGAAGCCCCTATACCCATATATACTTTGGTTTGATTTCCTGAGAGCAAGGACATTCTCTCACGGAACTCCAGTACAATGATCAAAACCAGGAAATTATCATTGATCTAATACTATTATCTATCCATTCAGATTTCATCAGTTCCCCC